GATTCTCCATGATTTTAGCTTGCTCCACTGTAGAACTATTTCTGTTATTTTCCGTAGAATTTCCTTCTTTATTTTCTGGTGTGGGCCTATTTGTTTCATATGATGGTAAGAAGTCATTCTCTGTGAAGATACCCTCATTCAGATGACATATCCCTGTTTTACTGAACCCAGTCATTATATCTATTAGCGTAGCAGCTAGAGCTCAATTTTACAATGCCAGAAACATCATATTTATACTAAAAATGTCTTACCTGGATTGATTACCATCCAGTTATCCATAACTGAATTGCAGTATTTTTTAAGGGTCCGTAAACACTTCTATCTAGAGGCTGCAATTTGTGCGAGTAGTGCGAAAGGAAAGATAAAACTGTTACTTCATTTTAATCACAAATATTTAACACGTCGATAGAAAAATGGGATTTATGGTTAGCGAGCATCATGTCATTGTGTTAATTATTCAGAATTGTTAAGATTGCTCCAGGAACGTTCGATATATGAGAATGACCTTAAAATCATAAAGAACCTTTATATGAATCAAGAGGCATCTGTGAGATTAGGACTGGAATCTACATCATATTTCTCAATCGAAAAAGGTGTACGACAGGGTTGTGTTCTGTAACCCCTCCTTTTTAATCTTTACTCTGAAACGATCTTTAGTAATCTAATCTATTAGTAATCTTCGCTATGCTGATGATACAGTCATAATAGCTAATAGCCAAGAAGCGCTACAATGACTAATAGATAGAATAAACACTGAGGGAGAATGGGAGAATGACTGGGCTTGAAGATAATATAGACAAGACGAAGGTAATGGTGGTTAGTAGAACACGAAATATGCAATTAAATATAAGAGTAAACAACAACAACATCCAAAAGGTCCCCAAGTTCAGATATCGCTGTAGTTGGATAACTGAAGATCTAGATCCAGACATAGAGATAGCAGCCTCAACAACGCTTCGATATCGCTTTGTAAAATGTTACATTTACTCCATACTGCTATATGGTGTAGAAACCTGGACCATAAAGGCCAATGTGATGAACCGATTGGAGACCTTTGAATTGTGGGTATTTAGAAGACTACTTAAAATTCCCTGAACAGATCACACAACAAATGTCGAAGTATTAAATCGAATGGGCAGAGAAAGAGAATTGCTGCTAATAATAAAAAGAAGAAAAACTGCTTATCTGGGTCATATATTTCGAAATTACAAGTACCAGTTCTTAAAGCTTATTATGGAAGGGAAGCTAGAAGGAAAACGAGGCATCGGAAGAAAGAAATACTCATGGCTTAAAAACATAAGGGATTGGACAAATCTCGATGCCCATGCACTTTTTAGAGCCACACAAGATCGAGAGAAGTATGCCAGAATTGTCGCCAACATCCACTAATTGGATAGAGCACCATAAGAAGAAGAAGAGCAGTCATGTATGGCAAGTATAGCACTCTAAGCGCTTCTTAGAACATCTTGTGTAAAACACAAAATGTTTGATACATTTCAAAATCCATCCTTGCATCTCCTAGGCTTCCTAGTGCATCTCTAATAAAGTGGTCTCTGGCTTACCCTCGGGAAATTGAAGAACGGAGGAACAGTATTACCACTTGCTGAAACTGCAATAGTAAGGATTATAAGGGTTCTTCTTTCTGCGGACATCAGTTTGCCTATTTGCTTGAAGCCACTTTGCAGTCGTGCCACTATTCTATCCGGCATTTAAACAGTTGTAATACCCATCTCGTGAACGTTCCAAATATCCAATGCTTGCAAATTCAGACTCTTGTATACCGCTTTCAAATTGTTGGAAAATATGTATACATTTGATTTGTTGAATAAAGTGGCTGTTGACAAACTGATGACTTGTGGTGTCCTCATCAATAATGTGTTATTCCTCTTGATATAAGATATATATATATATATATATATATATATATATATATATATATATATATATCAATCTGGACTTGCCATTTTATTGTTTGTTCAGCTATCTGGAACTTTTAAATGGTTTGCACTGGTATACTGGAGGCGAATTTTCTGAACTCCTTGGGGGTTAAACCGTGATAAATATACGAAGCTTATTTCGGGTAATTTGCTAGAAGTGTCTCTTGTTCCTAATTAAAAATATTTCTCCGATTGAAATAACCTACACGTTCTAGCTTTACATTCCCACCATGTAATCTGGCTTTAACTACATAATGCTGAAGTGTTTTTGGTGGTATTGATAAGTCTTTTGCGACAATATTAACACTACCATCATCTAAAACTGTTAAAACTGCCCATTGAATGATATCCGGTGCTGACTTGCCCTTATTACTTTTTCTCTTGTAGCTTATCATAGTTATGCTTTAACAAATATAAAGACAATTAACGCATTAGATAGATTCACATTTGGAGAAACATTTACAATTTAACAGTTGCCAATAGTTTCCAAATGCTTCAATATTACTGTCAACTTATTATTCCATTGTAAAATGCCACTTAGTTCACAAATTCTGCAACTTGGGCACATGATGGGATTTGTCGACTCTTAACAGATCCCGTCGACAAGCTCCATGCGTCACACTGCCATTCCGCGAGCCGTAGGATAGACATGCGTTAACGTAGATACGAATAAATCACGTCAAATATTCAGTGAAATTTGTAACGAACTATTTTATAGATAATTAAACGAAAATGTTAAGAACCAAAGTAATTACTTACCAAGGATTATTTTAGATGTCTTTTTCTCATCGACAGAAAACAAAAGCGATCATAACAGCGATATTGTAAAATGGCGCAAGAGTGACAGTTCAGATATCGTGTCTGCAGGCGTCATCTGTTTCACATTAAAGGAACTTAAGGCAAATAGCCAAATAACCGCGTTAGTCAACTAGCCTCGGCCTCCCCTAAAGAAACTGTAACTTACAGACTATACAGGTTGATGCCTGTATAGTCATGCCTGTAAACATTTTTTACAAACTCAAAAGCAGTTATCCGTTTTAAAACGATCGGATGACAACTATAAAATAATGAATTGAATTTTGAATGAAAGCATCCATTCATTGTTTATTGTAAAGATGTACTAATTCTCATCCTAAATGGTAGGTGGAAATTTGGCGTCTTCAGCGATGCAGTTTTCCACCAAGAAATCAGCAAATTTTTAAACTGCTGGACGTATGGGTAAGATTCCTCCAAAATCAATCGCAAAACAATCGTCTATGTCTTCGTAGTCCAGAAAAGAGAAACCAAATACGTCTTTTAAGTAACACAAAATGATTCTTTCGAATATGTCGTTGCCAAGCCCAGTTTCTGAATATTGCGCTACCTGTTTTATATAATTAAGGTTACATTTATATGGACTAAGAATCGTTAATATACTTACCAATTCTGTTCAAGGTCATCATTTCATATCAGAATTTGGGAAAGCTTAACGAACTGCTTTGTGAATTGCTATTTCAAAATCTACATACATAAACTCTGGGTCGAAAACTGTGCTTCTACTCGTACACTCTTTTTTTAAGGATTGGAACACTCTTACGAAGGAAATGGTTTCCTTGTTGGAAAACAAGCCATATACAAGCGGTGTGTAGTGTTTATTCACGAACCGGAGGATAGTAACAGTTAGCGCCTAAGAAAACTAAAATGTTAGTTCCGAAAGGAAGCCGGGACAAATTCTCTCTTCACTTTATAGCCGAAGGTGTGGAGATTGCATCGGTTAAATCGGTTAAGTATCTCGAAGTCTGGTTTTCGGAAGAACAGAGGTTCAGAGTACACATCCAGAAGATGGTAGAGAAGGCGAGCCGAATTCTGTAGGCGTTGATACGGCCGATGCCAAACATTGGAGGCCCAGGGAGCAACAAAAGAAGGGTGCTAAATGGAGTTTTCCAGTCGGTGGTAACCTACCTGCCTCCATGTGGTGTAGCGCACCGATCACTGCAAAATACACCAAGCTGATGGAGACTTCGCAAAGTCGAATGCTCCTCAGTATGTCATTGGAGTAATGATATCGATCGTTTTGTTGTGCAAAGAGCGAGCTAGGATATGTGCAAGAAGGATGGATGGAAATATAGATGAGAATAAGAGAGAAAGAACAATAGTGTAGTGGCAGAGATAGTGAACGAATGAATTTCTGGGGCGATGGAAAAAAAGGAGCAGGAGGACAGAGGACGAAATTGAACCAAGGATCTGAAATTTATGGTTATTATTATTTATTAGTTTATGGCCTAACGGAAATATTTTCTGATTTACGGTAATAGATATGGTTATTTGTAAATTTTTAGTTTTTATTTTAGTTGTTCATTGAGTGGCAAGATCACCTCTTTGGAACGGTGGTAAAGGTTTTAGCCAGAATACGGCTAATCCGGCACTATCCTGGGGTCTTCTAGCCTAGTATCCTACTCGGCGGAAAGATGCCAAGGTGTCTTGCTCCGTGACGTTAGATGTCCAAAAAATTTCCCCCACCGTTGCCTGCCAGAATACAATGGATACCTTCTTAGGCTCTTACTGGAATCTAGCAATACGGCAATTAAAAAATATATGCTCTATTGTTTCTTTCTGTTATAATCTGAAATTCTTCGTCAAACTAGTCGTTCATTCTTGTTCTTCTTTATTTACCTTCCATGTCTATTACTTTTTCAGGCGCTTCTTTCATGATGTTTCTGTACTCTTTCCACAAATCATTTATATGTTCATGTTTTCGTCTGTTTTCTCGTTTGATGTTTATATTTCTTTATAGTCTCTATTTTTGTTCGTATCTTTAAGTTCTTCTACATTATATCGTTCATGTTTAGAACCTCTTTCCTTTTTGATGTTTGAAATTCTGGTTCTTATCCTACTTTTGACCAGATAGTGACCAGAATCGGCATTTGATCCTCTCCTAGTGCGGAAGTTTATTATATTCGTATTTATAACCTTCATAAAGAACACGCTTATAAGAGGTCTTGTACACATTTTTTCAGTTATACATTTGTTATAAAATAAACCATCTCGAGTTTTATACCACTCACGATGATTTCTTGTTTTCAGAACACATTTAAAGTTACTAGAGGCAACTACAATTACCTTAGAGATGAAGATATAAAACATTTTCAAAACGTGCTTGGAGTCAGTAGGGTACTTACCAGTTCCGAAGACTTGCACAAATATAACGTGGACTGGTTTTTCCAAGTCAGAGGTAAAATTGTTAATCTAAACAAAATAAATGAAAAACGATGCCAAATTTGCATTAATTCCCAATCAGATGAATTTTTCTACAGGTCTTGAATACGTCATTACAAAAGCTACCTCATAAGTATCCTAGATCCTGCTTGTCCGTTGGATTATTTAAGGTATCAATATTATATTTTAAACAGAGGAAGCTACAGGAAAAATCGATAAAAAAGTTCGCAGATCGCAAAGTTTTATACAAAAGGTATCTATACTTTTTTTCCCATGACAACGCCGTTCTAGAGTTATGGCAAAATCAAACCTAGAATATACGAATATGCACTCAGATGTGGCCAATAGGTATGCATCATAAGTAGGGACCGGAATATACGCAACAGAAAATAGAGCAAATATGCGGATATGTAAATATTTAAAATATATTATAAAATCAGTATTTCTTGGGTTAAGGTTCATTAAGTAATATTAAATTTCTTCTTCTTTGGGTGCCGTGTTCTTAGCGAAGGTTGGCGATGACCTCTGCAAAGTCTTCCCTATTTTGGGCTTTCCTTATTAAACTTTGAAAGTCTAATCCTGTCCAATCTTTAATGTTGCGCAGCCACGTCATTTGTTGTCTACCCGGGCCGCGCCTGCTTTCTATTTTTCCTTCTATAATAAGCTGAAGGAAGTTATACCTGTCGTGTCTAAATATGTGTCCAAGATAAGACGTTTTATGCTTCTTTACAATTTCTGTGAGTTCACGTTCTCTATTCATACGCCTTAAAACTTCTTCATTTCTAACGCGGTCGGTCCATGGAATTTTCAGCATACGACGAAATACCCACATCTTAAAGCTCTCTAAACGTCGTCACGAGCTGACTGTTAACGTCCAAGCTTCCACGCCATGTAATAGTACATTATATACATAACACTTTATCATGCGGTATCGTAGGAACAAATCAAGATTACGGGTAGTGAGTAACTGTCGCATCTTTAAGGTGTTTTTTGCCTGTTCTATTCTACATTTAACCTCTTGTTCTTGGTCTAAGGTCTAAGGTTTCATGTATCCAACAGAATAGATACTTAAACTTTTTCACTTGTTCAACTAGATTGTTGTTGACTAGTATGTTTATAAATGATGTGTGTTTTTTTTAAATTACCATTGTTTCTTCAAAGTTGAATAACAATGGTGATTGTATACAACCTTGTCTAACTCCTCTTTGGATGTTTATGGTTTCAGTATCACCCATTTTAGTTCTGACAGAGGCGTTTTGGTTCCAGTAGAGTTCAGGTATTGTATTAATGTCGTTTGGATCCAGGTTCTTTTTTTGCAAGCATTGTATTAGTTGATCGTGTTTGACTTTATCAAAAGCCTTTTCATAATCTATAAAGCACAAGTAAACATCTTTTTGTTGATCCCGACACTTTTGCATGAGAACAATGAAACTGAACAAAGCTTCTCGAGTTCCCATATTGTTCCGGATCCATATCTTTTCCGCATTTTTTATAAGTTCTGTTATGGATAATTTTTAGAAATAGCTTCAGAATATGGAGCATGAGACTTATTAATCGAAAGTCGTTACATTTTTTTGCGTAGTTTGATTTAGGTATAGGCACAAACGTAGACGTTAACCAATCTTGTGGAATTGTACCAGTCTTGTATATACTGTTGAAGAGTCTTGATAATAGTTCTAAATTGTCTTCTTCCAAAAGTTGTATAATTTTACTATGAACGTAGTCAGGCTTTTCCGGTTTTCATATTTTTTAAGGCGTATTTTATTTCTGATGTTAAGATGGACAAGTCGTTATTTTCTATGTTTGTTTGTCTATCAATATTTATCGTTCTATCGTCTGAGAATAGGTTTTGTATGTATGTTCGCCATTCAACGCTTATTTCTTCTATTGTGGTCAGGGCTCTATCATCCGTACTTGGTATTGTGATACACTGCCTAGGGTTTCTGATCCCACACATTTCTTAAATTTTCTTATGGAGAAGTCTATCATCATGTTTATTCTGTAGGTCTTTTATCTCTTCGCAAGTTTCTACAAGCCACTGTGTTTTTGCTTCCACTATCTTTGTTCTTATTAGTCTTTGTATTTCTTTATAGTTATTCCAGTTTTTGTTTTTGTGCTGTCGTCTCACATTCATCGTTTCTAATATTTCATTAGTTAGCCATGGTTTCATGCCTCTTTGATTCGTGTATTTAAGGTGGTCTTCAGCTTTAGAAATACAGTCTTAAGTTCTTTCCATATTTGGTTGAAGTCGTCGGATTCTTCTGGTAGGTACATAATTTTCCTTTTGTCTGTTTTTAAGTTCTCGACATTCGTGGTTAAGTTCTTGTGATATCTTCTGTCTCGTTTCTATATCCTTGAGTAAGCTCATGTCTGATTTCTGTTCTCTCTTCTTTCTTTTTGTGCTTTTTAGCGTGTTTTTAAATTTGGCGATGAGCAAGCAATATTAAATTTGCAAGTAGATCTTATTGTTCCATTAAAATCACAGATTCAGGAGATTCAGATTTCAGATTAAAGATTAAAACAGCGCACAAGCAAGATCGACGGGGACTTTTGACAAAGCATTTGTAGTGACATATTACGACCTATACAAAAGTCTATTTTGTCTCGGTTTTCGCAATATATTTGACTATTAACACGTTGTCTGCCGTCTCTAAAAAATTACCCTCCATGCCAGCGAGGTCTATATGACCGAGAATTTTTACGTGACTGTGGTGTCACATTGACCGAGACGTTACATTGGATGGCATATAATTTTCGCAATTTTTTTTGTAAGAAGAGGAATTTTGAAAAATTTTAAACATGAATCATTACAGGCTATATAAAGGTACCTCTGCTTACCATGGCGTGAGCGGTAATTTTTTGGAAAGTATTACAAATTTCTCTATGGCAGACAACGTGTTAAAGATATGAAAATATTGTAATAGTATTATAAAATCCTTTCTAATAGCTTCTATATTCCTAGTTTTCTTATTATACTCTATTTCTATTTCTATATTCCTTTACCTTTTCTTTTTTCATTCTCTAAATCTTTATTTCTTTCTTTACTTCTTTATTTATTATCAAGTTTTTATTAATATATTTTTAACTGTATTAAAAATAATGCATTTTATTTCCAGGTGAATAACGTAATTTTATTATCAAAACATTCTTACAATTTGTGTGTAAATAACGTATACAGAGTGAACCAAAAGTTTGGATACGACTAATTTTCTCTTATTGGATGATCAAGGAGAATGATTTACTGTAGCTGGCTGTATACTATGAAGCACAAAAAAATCCGTTAGGTATATTAATAAAAAAACCCAATCGCGCTATGTTACAGAACTTTTTTGGAATGACTATTTCATCATCAGTGCTTTTCTAAAATAAGTATTACCACTTTAATTAAAGCAAATGTGAAAGTTGAACTTTTGACTAAGGTAACATAAATGTGGTTTAATACTCACCAGATTTACATGTTTGAAGCCACTAATATAGTTTAATTCATTTTAAATTACATATTTGATGAAAAAATACTAGGATCTGTACAAGGGTAGATTGATATAAAACTAGCCTTTGATAGAAAAAACAAGTTTTTTGGAATTCGATTTATTTCTCAACATAGTCCCCTTTTAGCTCGATAGACTTAGTAAGATGATGTTCCAATTTTTTTATCCCATCCGAATAATACTTTTGCTCGAGCTCTTCAGAATAGGCCGAAGTTTCAATGACGACTTCATCATTTGTTGCGAAACGGCGTCTTCCGAGCAATTTTTTTTTAGGTTTGAAAACAGGAAAAAATCGCTGGCGGCAAGATCTGGGGAGTTTCGACGCAATTCGGCATCGAATCGATCCAATAATGCTGCGTAGTACTCACCATTGATTGTTTTTCCTTTTTCCAAGTAATCGATGTGGATGATGCCCTTCGCATCCCAGAAAACAGTCACCATCACTTTGCAGGCCGAATGTACACTCTGCCTTCTTCGGCAGCCCTTCGCCGCGTTTGCGCCACTGTTTCGACTGTTCTTTGGTTTCCGGTGTGTAATAATGCATCCAATGTAAAAAAATCCTTCGGATCGTATCGTATCATCGCCGAAAGCGTTTTGGTCACACGTTTTTGCATTTGATTGATAGTCAGCAAACGCAGCACCCATCTCGCGGATAGCTTTTTCATGTCCAAATGATGGTGAATAATGTTTTGTACGCGTTCGTAGGAAATGTTTAGGACCTCTGTTAACTCGCGAAGCTTAATTCGACGATCTGCCATAATCATGTCATGAACTTTGTTGATCAATTTCGGCGTAGTGACTTCATTTGGCCTCCCAGGACGATCATCATCAAAAACACTCGTACAACCACGAACAAATTCAGCTTTTTAAAATTTTAACGTAGAGGTAATGGATTTTAACAAGAGCTATGAGTCATGCCCATTTAGTACACAAGTTTACCTGTTATTTACAATGTCACAGCTATTGTCAAAATCCATTACCTTTAGCTACGTTAAGCTTTCACTGTTGCTAACGAAGGTGCAAGCTCACCATAAACTTCGTCCAGATCGGCTTTGATTTGCACATTCGTTTTACCCTTTTTGTGGAGGAGCTTAATCACCGAATGATACTCGACTTTTTCCATTTTTTCGAAAACACAAAATTTGCTTGCTTTTGATGGCTGTAAAAACCAAACTAATTGTTTTTAAAACTTAAAATTTTAACAGACCTCATGTCATAAATGGCAAATGACAACACCAAAACTAATTCTGTATCAAGTAGCGCCATCTATCAAAGGCTAGTTGAATATCAATCTATTCTCGTAAGTAATAAACGGGATGAAATTATTCGCTATTATTATTATTATCCAGATTTAGCCATATGGCTCACACTCCCTCTAAGGGGAAAATTCACTCATCTCAGATACCTACGGTATCAAAAGGATTGAGCTCTGGTGGGACTCTTTCCGTGTTATCGAGCCCTAGGTGACTTGGTATGTCGGAGTATCTCCCAAAAAATTTCGTACACATCTGGACGTCGCGAGGAGTAC